CAGGTGCCATTTATGCCTCCTATTTACCACTGAGACTGCAGCACTTTTTCCACCTACTGCCTTGCCTCTTGGTTTAAGAATGTGAACTATGATCCCTGTTGCTCTGCATCATGAATTGATGTTGCTGGGAGCACAATTAAAATTTGGTTATGGGGACATGTGAATTCTAGTTATATCCCATGCATAGGGCACATATGTAGGTTTACATTGGTTTCCACAATACAGTAAGGGTGCCAGATTGGACATCTGTCAGACTAAACCATTGTCACATGGTCTATGGGGTTTGTGTCTAGCCATACAGATATACAGACTATCTATTTGCTTAAGATTGTATGGGAGATGCAGCAGTAAGTCTGGGCCATAGAGAGGAAGACTAAAAGGAAGTTGCACCACGGAGGATGTTAACTAACCAGTATAATGAGAGAGAATAATAAAACAAAACAAATCGAACTTTATCTTATGTACATAACAAGGTATACTAGTAAGTTGACAGTATGTCCTAGTACTAAGTACTGAACAAAGTATAAATAGTAACTGGAAGAGGATACAGAGAATTGAAATTTAATTTATTCTCCACTATCACACATCAGAAGTAAGCACATTTATTTTAGGCCACATTAAGCTTTGGTTAAACAAACATTTTCATCTCATGCTCCTAATTCTGAAGCTCTTTGTGAGGAATGCACAATAAGCAGCCTGTGTAGCCAGTGCACATGAGGGGCACATGTATATGTAAGTCACCTCGAGAAAGAACAAAGTGCGTAGATTGAGATACTTTTGTAATCACATTACTGAGCACCAAGACAATCCATTGCTGTTTAGAAAAAAGGTTACAAAAAGCAGGCATTTACATAAAAACAATTGCATGCTGCATTTATTTGGTGAAATTAATAAAATTGTATTTCAAGGATCATACTTATTCATAAACAAGTTAATATGCATGGATAACACTATATTATATTCTTTTGAATGTTTTTCTAGCATTAGTTAAAGGTTCACATCAGTCAGCATCATACATAAAAATGTTAAGTGGACCAAAACTCAATAAGTGAAGATCTGCAATGCTATAGGAAACATTTAAAAATGTTAACTGTGTTTAAGTTGTACCCTGAAAAAATGCACCCTTTGTCTTGAATTCCTGAACAAATTGCAGTGCATATTCTGGTATGTGAGTGTGCCTACATATGTTCACTCAGTAGCCACTTTATTAGGTACACTTTGCTAGTATCGGGTTGGATCCCCTTTTGCCTTCAGAACTGCTTTAACTCTTCATGGCAGAGATTCAACAAGGTATTGGAAACATTCCTCAGAGATTTTGGTCCATATTGACATAAGTTACTGTCGCCTTTCTACCATCTCGAACCAGTTTGCCCATTCTCCTCCGACCTCTGACATCAACAAGACATTTTCGTCCACACAACCGCCACTCACTTCTCTTTTTAGGACCATTCTCTGTCAACCCTAGAGATGGTTGTGTGTGAAAATCCCAGTAGATCAGCAGTTTTTTAAATACTCAGACCAGCCTGTCTGGCACCAAAAACCATGCCATGTTCAAAATCACTAAAATCCCCTTTTTTCCCCATTCTGATGCTCGGTTTGAACTTCAGCAAGTCGTCTTTACCACGTCCAGATGCCTAAATGCATTGGGGTTGATTTACTAAAGGCAAATAAACTGTGCACTGCAAATGCACTGTAAGTGCACTTGGAAGTGCATTACAAGTGCACTGAAAGTGCAGTTGCTCTAGATCTGAGGGGAACATGCAAGGAAAATAAAAAAAAACAACATTTTTGCTTGCATATGATTGGATGCAAGAAATTAGCAGAGCTTCATCTCATTTCAGAGCTTTCCTTTGGATCTAAAGAAACTGCACTTGCAGTCCACTTGAAGTGCACTTGCAGGTGCTTTTGCGGTGCACTTGCAGTGCACAGTATACAGTTGTGTTTAAAATAATAGCAGTGTGTTGAAAAAAGTGAATAAAGCTCAAAATCCTTCTAATAGCTTTTATTTCCATACACACAAATGCATTGGGAACACTACACATTCTATTCCAAATCAAAACATGAAGAAAAATATATCAAATTTGTGTTGTTCCTCAAAAAAATTGAAGAAAAGTGAATATTAGACTGTTCAAAAAAATAGCAGTGTTTGTATTCTTCTTTACAAACTCAAACATTCACTATATAAACTGAAAAATGTTTGAAGATTTTGCTTTCCTTTGAATCACTTAATTAATATTTAGGTGTCCATTTATGAACCAGCAGTAAATGATCGCTGCTCAGTTCTCTGGAATTCTCGGAGAACACAGTTCTCCTGTGAATGCCTTTTATGAAGTGGTGTAGATCAGTTCTCCGAACGAAGGGAGAACGGTCTACAAATGCTGGAAAACGGCTGCTTTTACTATAATCTCACGAGATTACAGTAAAAGATCAGTTTACTAAACAGAGGTAAATTATCGCTGCTTAGTTTGCGGTTCCTCCGATTCTCCAGCTCTGGGCTGGAGAATCTGGAGGGAGAACACAGATCTCCAGTGAAGAGCTGAACATGTTCTCCGCTGATCTCCTGAGTGTCATAAACTGTGAATGACCAGAGAATAGCTGCGATCCTCTGAATCACAGCCATTCTCTGTGTCATAAACGGACACCTTAGTTGTATAACCACTGTTTCTGAGAACTGCTGTACATCTGTGTTGCATGGAGTCAACCAACTTCTGGCACCTGTGAACAGGTATTCCAGCTCAGGATGATTGGACTACATTCCACAGTTCTTCTCTATTTCTTGGTTTTGCCTCAGAAACTGCATTTTTGATGTCACCCCACAAGTTTTCTATTGGATTAAGATCCGGGGATTGGGCTGGCCACTACATAATGTCAATCTTGTTGGTCTGGAACCAAGATGTTGCACGTTTACTGGTGTGTTTGGGGTCGTTGTCTTGTTGGAACACCCATTTCAAGGGCATTTCCTCTTCAGCATAAGGCAGCATAACCTCTTCAAGTATTCTGATGTATTCAAACTGATCCATGATCCCTGGTATGCGATAAATAGGCCCAACACCGTAGTATATGAGAAACATCCCCATATCATGATGCTTGCGCAGCCCTGCTTCACTGTCTTCATAGTATACTGTGGCTTGAATTCAGTGTTTGGGGGTCGTCTGACAAACTGTTTCCGGCCACTTTGTTGCACCATTTCTCTTTAGGCCAGTCAATATGCTCTTTGGCAAATTGTAACCTCTTCAGCACATGTCGTTTATTCAACAGTGGGACTTTGCGAGGGCTTCTTGCAGATAACTTGGCTTCACATAGGCGTCTTCTAATTGTAACAGTACTCACAGGTAACTTTAGACCTTCTTTGATCTTCCTGGAGCTGATTGTTGGCTGAGTCCTTGCCATTTTGGCTATTCTTCTATCCATTCGAATGGTAGTTTTTCGCTTTCTTCCACGTCTTTCAGGTTTTGGTTGCCATTTTAAAGCATTTGCGATCATTTTAGCTGAGCAGCCTGCACTTCTTTATATGTTTTCCCCTCTCCAATCAACTTTTTAATCAAGGTACGCTGTTCTTCTGAACAATGTCTGGAACGACCCATTTTCCTCAGAATTTCAGAGAGAAATGCACTGTAACCAGCATGTACAACATTTGCTGCCTTCCTTCCTTAAATAAGGGCAATAATTGCCACCTGTTTTTCAAAGAATGAATGACCTCACTAATAGAACTTCACACTGCTATTATTTTGAACATGCTCCTTTTAATTAGTGATTCAATTACACAGAATCAGCAGCATGCATGTCATGACTGTTGGGTCTGTTGGATTTCTACTCTACTACACCTGCTAGTAAATTATTTGCCATGTAGAAATATAATTTCTACCAAAAACAGTGATTGATCAGGTTAGTGATGTCTGACTGCTATTATTCTGAACAAAACTGTATTTACCTTTAGTAAATCAACCCCATTGAGTTTCTTCCATATGATTGGCTGATTAGAAATTTATGTTACCAAGCAATTGAACAGGTAGGGGCGTATTTGCCACGAGGCAAACAAGACACTTGCTTGGGTGGCGCTTTTCAGGGGGGCGACACTTCGCCTCAGAGCAGCCAGGGCTGCTCTGTGGGTCAGAGCTCTCCGCAGTGGATGGTGGTGGGGAGCCAGGGCTGAGTGATGATCCCGGAAGATGGCACTGTCCAGGGGAGGCAGGGATCTCTGTCACAGGGATGGAAGAGGGAAGGAAAATTCAGCAGCAAGGAGGATACATACCAGCAGTACATGGCCCTTAGTCTCCGCCTCTCCACCAGGCCTGGTGAGTGATCTCCATCCTACTACTGTGTATACCATGTATACTATTTGGGGGGGGGGGGAAGAGCTGACAGAGACTGACCAGAGACTGCCAGGTGACTGACTCATACCACTAACTGACACCTAGGCACCGCTCATACCACTAACTGACACTTTCTCACCGCTCATACCACGAATGACACCTTCTCGACACTCTTACCACTAATTACACCTTCTCGCCACTCATACCACTGACACCTTCTCACCGCTCATACCACTAATTGACACCTTATCACCACTCATGACACCACTACCACTAACTGACACCTTCTGACACCGCTCGTACCACTAACTGACACCTTCATGCCACTCATACCATTAACTTATACCTTCATAGAAAGATGTGACCGACCACTAAGTTCTGCTCAGCAAATGTAGGTGCACTAGAGACAGGTGGGGTGTACTGGGGAGGGTCGATTTTTGTGTTGCCTAGGGCAGCAGAAAACCTAAATACACCACTGTTAACAGGTGTCCTGTGGACACAGCTGATCACATGACATGGTAAAAGGCCAATCACAGCGGTCTTTTTCCACATGATCAGCTGTGTCCAATGACACAGCAGATTACCATGTAAATACATTTGCCGGTTATCAGCAGCAATTTCCTCACACTGTCACAGCGCGAAGAAAGTACTGCCGATAACTGGCAAATGTCACAGAGGACATCAGGGATGATCAGTGCCCTGATCATCAGTGCCACCCATCAGTGTCAACCAATGCTGCCCATCAGTGCTCAGCGGTGTCACCCATCAGTACCCAGCAGTGCCACCCATCAGTGCCAGCAGTGCTGCCCAGCAGTGCCACCCAAAATTTGTGCCCAGTGCCCAGCAGTGCTACCCAGCAGTGCTGCCAGACAGTGCCATCAGTCAGTGCTGCCAGTCAGTGCTGTCAGTCAATGCCGCCAGTCAGTGCTGCCAGTCAGTGCCCATAAGTGACACCTGTCATTGCCCATCAGTACTGCCTTTCAGTGCCCATAAGTGCTGCCTATCAGTGCCCATCATTGCTGCATATCAGTGCAGCATCATCAGTGCCTCCTCATCAATGCCCACCAGTGCCGCCTCATCAGTGTCACCTCATCAGTGCAGCCTATCAGTGCCCATCAGTGCTGCCTATTCATGCCACCTCATCAATGCCCATCAGTGCTGCCCATCGGTGCAGCCTCATCAACGCACATCAGTGAAGGAGAAAAATTACCTGTTTGCAAAATTTAATAATAAAAAAAGAGCAAAAACGTTGAAAAAAATAATCGTTTTTAAATTTTTCTGTTTATAGTGCAAAAAATAAAAACCCCCCCAGTGGTGATTAAATACCACCAAATGAATGCTTTATTTGTGTGAAAAAAATTATAAAAATCTCATATGGGTACAATGTTGCATGATTGCGCAATTGTCATTCAATGTGCAACAGCACTAAAAGCTGAAAATTGTCCTGGGCATGAAGGGAGTAAAAATACCCGGTAGGCAAGTGATTAAAATTGAGCACGCCCATGTAGTGGCAACAAAAAACGTACATTTTACTGTCCATAGGCAATGCTTTAAAAGCCCTTACATGTTACCACTTTAGATTTACAGAGGAGGTCTGGTGCTATAATTACTGCTCATGATCTGAAATTCGTGATGATACCTCATATGTGTTTGCGTGCATGCGAGTTCGCCTTTGTGAGCAAATATTGGGGGAAGGGGCACTTTATTTATTTATTTTTTTACACTGTCACTTAAATAAAAAAAATTTTTTAGCACTTTTATTTCTGTCACAAAAAATGTAAACATCCCTTGTGACAGCAATAAGCATGTGACAGGTAATCTTAATGGAGGGATCTGAGGTCAATAAGACCCCAAATCCCTCCTCTGCCCTTTAAAGCAATAAATCACATCAAGATCGGTGTGATTGAATGCTTTTATTTTTAAAAAAGTGGTGTTGTACCAAGTAAACCGGAAGTGATGTCAGGTCATCACTTCTGGTTTACTATTTAAAGGAGCCGAATAAAGCCAATCCGGTCTTTCTTTGGCTCTCTGACTAGCCAATGGCAGTGCCAGCTGGTCAATCGGGACACCTGGTGGGACGGGAGTTCCCGTTAAAGCTGCCAAAGGTGGTAGGATGAGGGATGTCCCCTCCGGCTGCTTGTAATAGCGATCAAGTGGCTAGTTAGCTGGTTCGATTGCTATTACAAGAAACCCGATCGTTGGCACTAAATAACGGTACTGGGATGATGCCTACAGCTGCAGGCATCATCCTGGTACAACCACTTGAAGACCGGTCACTTACCAGGTATGTGACTGGTCAGCAAGTAGTTAAGATTACCATAACTGAACTTTTCACCTGCTCCCTATCACTAAATTAACCCCTAAATGTTTGCATGTAACTTATCTAAATATCTACACCCAAAAGAAACAATTAAATCTGGTTGTTATGAGTTGCAGAATGGTGTTTATGGCAACCTGGCATGCTTTCTAAGTAGTTAATACTATCACAATGTAGTACTTGAATTGTCGACAAGATTGCTGAAAGAGAAACCTTGTTTGTATGATGAAGTTTGCATGGTTCTCCTCAAAATGCCTTGGTTTCCTCTGAAAACCGAAAATCAAACTAGTAGGTCATTTGGCTTCCACTCAAATTGGTTATTGAGTGTCTGTATGTATGTGGCTCTGGTAGAGTGCAAGGAATGTTCCCTCTAAGGCAGGGTCAGATGTGAAATTGTACATGTTCTCTGTACAGCAGCATGGACTATCTAGGGACTATTAGTCCTCATGCACACTGATTGTTTTTACAGAGGCTGTTTTTGGCTTTTGACATTTTTTTTTCTACAAGTAAACTCCCCAGCATGTTATACTATGTGTCCATGCACACATAGACTTATAATCAGCATTTTTTGGCTGGAAAAAGCCCAGAACTAGTGGGTTTCTAGAGGAGTTTTTTAGCTGTAAAAATGCTCTAATGCTGAAAAACGTGGCAAACTAGCATTTCTGGACTTTTAGTGAGTTAAAATCTAAAAAATGGAAACGCAACTTTTATTGAGTTAACCTCCCTGGCAGTATTCCCGAGTGTAGCTAGGGGTAAAGTTTTAGTACCAAAAGCGGTAACCCCGAGCTACACTCGGGCTTACCATGCGGCGTTGCTCAGGGATTCCCTGCAGCGCTTACCTTGTCCTTCGCTCCCTTGATGTGTCCCCTGCAGCGTAACGGCCATCTCCTCTGGGCCGATGCCGGCATCCAACTTCCGTTTTCCAGCCCCTGCGAGCGTTGGGACGTATGGGGGCCTGAACGGCGGCAAATTTAAAAAAAATTTTTAAACTGTCATTTTCTTAGAAATTAATTTGACATAGTAAAACATTACTGTATCAAACCATTTCACATACATTTTGCCCCTACTGCTTTGTCCTGTGCCCTGCCTGCATTTTGACTGTTCTTTCTGCCTGGAAACTTAGAAAAGTCCATGGCGTCCAAAAAGCGACCCTTTTGGTCAAAAGTGGTTTTAGACCAGCTAGAGAACAGCGATAGTAAATTAGAACTACTTGCAGAATTGAGTGAAAATGATTTGTGGGGAAATTCGTCATCAGACACTGAAAACGATTTTGCGACTTTGCTCAGTGATGTGCGAACTTGGCGCTATATTTCAAACTTCAGTGTTTTTGGTTTGATTATATTATTGAATTAAATTTATTATTATTATTATATTATTTTTTTTATGATTATTTATTAAATTATAATTTATGATTTTGTGTTTCAAATTTTATCATACCCGGGATGTTTACTAGACTCTTGTTCGGACAGATTTCAGTGAGTTATTCCTAAAAATTACAGGCCTACAATAAAAAAAAATACATATTTCCATGCAAAAAAAATTACCGCTTTCAGCACAGAAATATGGACATAATCATACCGCTAGGGAGGTTAAAAAAGCGCTAAAAAATGCAAAACGCAAAAAAAGCGGCAAAATGCCGCTAAACACTAATGCAAAAACGCTGAAAAACTCTACACTTTACACAGACTTTAAGACTTTACACAGCTAACGTTACCAGAATTATTAAAATGACCCGTGTGCATGGAGCCTGAAATTGCATACAATAAACATACATATATTATATAATGTCCACAGACAGAAATATATATAGCATAAACATTCAACTGGTAACAATTTTAATTTTGTGTTTGCTGGCGCTATTAATGAGTGACAGTAATAAGTAATGATAAGTGGCAGTAATAATTCTGTGAAGTATTCTTCCAAGTAAGACTAAGAAAGTGCTTATCTGGAAGGATGCTATAAAAATGCAATAGGGTTGCTGACCAGGAAGAATCATTGATACCTTCATCTGAGGGACGTGAATGAGCAGACATATATCAAGCCTCCGACACATTCGATCTAAGAAGCACCATCTGTATCATCTCTTGTTACACTTACTTCTCACATATGGAAGGACTGATTCAAGTAATGAGATTTACTGCAGTATATATCACACTGGATGAGCACTCCATCACTTTATTAAGTCAGAGGAAATTATATGATGTACTCTTTCTAGGCATAATCTCTGTGTTTCAGCAGCAAGCACACTTTATCGGTTGCCAAAATCTTAATGACAAAAGGTTGTAAAGTATACAACTGTCAGGTATATTTTCTTCAGCTCAAGTATGTCTTCTGCTTTCATTGCCATAACATCAAGGAACAGTTGTAGTTACAGAGGCAGCAACTTCCTTTAGCTATGCTTGCTCTTAGATACCCAGTTCATTCTCTGAATTAAGAGTGTGTATCTTTCTACATCAGCAGAAGCATCATTATGTCTGCCCACCCAAAAGTATCATTTACATATAGTTAGAGCCAGGGGCGGACTGACCATTTGTCAGTAGGGGGCCCTAATGAGATGCCCCTGATACCTTTTTCATAGTCTTTTTTGAGTTTGGGCAATGACGCAGGGGCCCCATGATCCCCTATTGCCCGGGGGCCCCATGAGTTGTCAGTCCGCCCCTGGTTAGAGCCTGGTAAGTCCTGGCTCCTTATTCAGTATGTGTATTTTTTTTTTATATAAATATTACACAGACCTGACTTCTTTTATCTCTGGGTACTCCAAAAGCAAGATTTTCCTTTTATAACACATTACGCTGTTCCTGTCCCCTTGGCAGATTTGAGCGTTCCTGATCAGCTTTGTTTCAGTTCTTTCCACTGTATTCTTCATAATATAATAAATAATTCAAAACAATAATCTAACAGGGATAGTGGAGAGCTCTAATAATGGCCACAGCAGGTGTGCGGACCCAGGAACTCAAGCACAGATAGCTCACCAATAGGACCCACTGCTCTGCTATATAAAAGATCTAGAAAAAATGAATTTTGAAAATATCATTGATTTAGCTAGTTTTATACAATAACCTTCTCTTGCTAAAACTGACCATAGCACTGGGTTGGAATTCTTCAGTTAGAGTATCAGTCATGTGAAACAGCTCTAAACTTGAACACTGAATCATATATGAAATGGAGTGACATATTCGGTCTTGAGTCGGTTGGTGCAATTTCCAGCATGCTGGGTAAGTGGCCATTTACTTTTAATTCTTTATTCTTAGGCTAGCCTAGGATCAACACACAACAAAGCATTAATCAGTTCCTTTTTGGATTGAATTGAAAGACATTTGAATAATGGCTAGGTCAGTATTAAAGCAAAAGCATCTGCATGATAGTTAAGCAAATATCAATTCAATTTCCAAAAGAGGAAAGCAATGAAATGGTTGTCTACATACTGGATATCTCACATGACATCTGCCCTTTATATTTATCTATACCCGCAAATTACAATAAGAACAGACAAGCTAAGATAAAGACAGAGCAGTGTGGTTCTCAAATTGATGTTAGGGAGAAGACTTTGAATGTTTTCCCATCTCTCCTTTATGGTTGTACATAATAGACAGGATTTACATAAATACAAGAGCCATATCCTACTTTTTCTAGCATCTTTTACTATGAGAAACAAACAATGAGAACAAATAGTTCTATTATATAAGAAACCAGACCTTGACTGGTTTCCATAGCTATGAAAGTCACATCAGTCACATATGCCTACATACCAGAAATGTTTTACATTTCATTTCTTCTTCTATTAGATGTAGTAAAATTCACATTTAAGTATAGAGATAAGGAACAGTTACTTGAACCCAAGCACTGGACAACAA